TTAAATATGGTTAAACCCCTGGACAAAACTGAATGGGGACAGAAAGGAATATACCTTTTTTCTCGACGGTACATGGCACCTACACAAAAAGTGACCATGTACTAGGGCATAAAAACCTCACAATCCGACACAGAAAGGCAGAGATATTAAATGCATCCTTTTCAGGTCATGATGCAATAAAAATTACATATAATAAAAGGCCATGGAAAGATATACTAAAAATTAATTGGAAACTAAATAATCTAATCCTAAAGAATGAGTGGGTCAAACAATAATTCATAGAAACAATCAATAACTTCATCCAAGAGAATGACAATAATGAGACAATACACCAAAACTAATGGGATGCAGCAGAAGCGGTCCTTAGTGGAAGTTTTATATCTCTAAATGCTTACAATAAAATAAATAAATAAATAAATAAAAAATAAAAAGAAGAGAGCAATGAATTGGGCATGCAACTAAAAAAGCTAGAAAAAGAACAAATTGAAAATCCTCAATTAATTACAAAATTAGAAATTCTGAAAACCATAGGAGAAATTAATAAAATTGAAATTAAGAAAACTATTGAACTAATAAATAAAACTAAGAGCTGGTTTTAGGAAAAAACCAATAAAATAGATTAACCTTTGATTAATTTGATTGAAAAAAAGAAAGAAGAAAACCATATTACCAGCATCAAAAATGAAAAGGGTGAATTCACCACCAATGAAGAGGAAATCAAAACAATAATTAGGAACTATTTTGCCCAACTGTATGCCAATAAATATGACAACCTTAGTGAAATGGATGAATATTTACAATAATATAAATTGCCCAGATTAATGAAAAAGGAAATAAAATACTTAACCCCATTTCAGAAAAAGAAATTGAACAAGCCATCAATGAACTCCCTAAGAAAAAAATCTCCAGGGCCAGATGGATTTACAAGTGAATTCTATCAAACATTTAAAGAACTAATTTCAATACTATATGAACTATTTTGGAAAATACATGAAGAAGGAGTCCTATCAAATTCTTTTTATGATACAAATATGGTGCTGATACCTAAACCGGGAAGAGCCAAAACAGAGAAAGAAAATTATAGACCGATTTCCCTAATGAATATAGATGCAAAAAATTTTAAATAAAATATTAGTAAAAAGATTACAACAATTTATCTCAAGGATAATACACTATGACCAGGTAGGATTTATATCAGGAATGCAGGCTGGTTCAATATTAGGAAAACTATCAGCATAATTGACCATATCAACAACAAAACTAAAAGAAATCATATGATTCTCTCAATAGATGCAGAAAAAGCATTTGACAAAATACAACACCCATTCCTATTAAAAGCACTGAAGAGCATAGGAATAAATGGAATCTTCCTTAAAATGATAGATAGCATCTGTCAAAAACCATCAGCAAGCATTATATGTAATGGGGATGAGCTAGAAGCATTTCCAGTAAGATCGGGGGTGAAACAAGGGTGTCCATTATCACCACTGTTATTCAATACTGTGCAAGAAATGTTAGCTATAGCAATTAGAAAAGAAGAAGAAACTGAAGGAATTAGAATAGGCAAAAAAGAAACAAAGCTATCATGGTTAAACCCCTGCAGATAATATGATGGTATACTTAGAGAATCCTAGAGAATCAAGTAAAAAATTACTTGAAATAATAAACAAATTTAGAAAAGTTGAAGGATATGAAATAAACCCACACAAATCATTAGCATTTCTATATATTACTAACAAAGCCCAACAGCAAGAGATAGAAAGAGAAATTCCATTTAAAATTACTGTAGACATTATAAACTATTTGGGAGTCTACCTCCCAAAACAAAACCAGGAACTATATGAACACAATTACAAAACACTTTTCACACAAATAAAGTCAGATCTAAATAACTGGAAAAATATCAGTTGTTCATGGGTAGGCTGAGCTAATAAAAATAACAATTCTGTCTAAATTCTGTCTAAATACTTATTCAGAGCCATACCAATCAAACTACCAAAATATTATTTTACAGAGCTAGAAAAAGCAATAACAAAATGCATCTGAAAGAACAAAAGTTTCAGAATATCAAGGGAACTAATTAAAAGAAATGCAAGGGAAGGTGGCCTAGCTATACCAGATCTTGAATTGTATTATAAAGCAGTAATCATCAAAACTACTTGGTACTGGCTAAGAAATAGAGTGGTAGATCAGTAGAATAGCTTAGGTATGCAAGACACAACAGCCAATGACTATAATAATCTACTATTTGATAAATCCAAAGACTCCAGCTTCTGGGATAAGAAATCACTATTGAACAAAAACTGCTGGGAAAACTGGAAAATAGTATGGCAGAAACTGGGCATAGACCAACATCTTATACCCTATACTAAGATAAAGTCAAAATAGGTACAATATTTAGATATAAAGACTGATACTATAAGCAAAGTAGAAGAACAAGGAATAGTTTACCTTTCAGATCTATAGAGAAGGGAATAATTTATGACCAAACAAGAGATAGAGAATGTTATGAGATGCAAAATGGATAATTTTAGTTCCATTAAATTGAAAAGTTTTTGCTTTTTTTTATAGTCAGTGTCTCGGTAAAGCCTCATTTCTGAAATATATAGAGAACTAAGTCAAATTTATAAAAATACAAGTCATTCCCCAATTGATAAGTGGTCAAAGAATATGAACAGGCAGTTTTCAGAGGAAGAAACTAAAGCTATCTATAGTCATATGAAAAAATGTTCTAAATCACTATTGATTAGAGAAATGCAAATCAAAACGACTTTGAGATACCACATCACATCTATCAGATTAGCTAACATGACAAAACAGGACAGTGATAAATGTTGGATAAGATGTGGAAAATTGGAACACTAATGCATTGCTGGTGGAGTTGTGAACTGATCCAACCATTCCGGAGAGCAATTTGGCACTATGCCCAAAGGGCTATCAAATTGTGCATACCTTTTGACCCAGCAATACCACTTCTAGGTCTGTATCCCAAAGAGATCATAAAAACGAGAAAAGGACCCACATGTACAAAAATATTTATAGCAGCTCTTTTTGTGGTGGCAAAGAATTAGAAATTGAGGGGATGCCCATCAGTTGGGGAATGACTGAACAAGTTGTGACATATGAATGTAATGGAATATTATTATGATATAAGAAATGACGAGCAGGTAGACTTCAGAAAAACCTGGAAAGACTTATATGAACTGACGCTGAGTGAAATGAGCAGAACCAGGAGAACACTGTACACAGTGACAGCCACACCGTATGATGACTGGCTTTGATAGACTTGCCTCTTCTCAGCAATGCAAGGATCTAAGACAATTCCAAAAGACTCACAATGGAAAATGCCATCCACATCCAAAGAACTATGGAGTCTGAATACAGATGGAAGCATTCTATTTGCTCTTTTTTTTTGTCATTTTGTTTTATTGCTTCATTCTTGTGGTTCCTCCTATTAGTTCTAATTGTTCTTTACATCATGACTAATGGAAAAATATGCTTAAGATGAATGTATAAGTAGAGTCTGTTTCAGTTTGCATGCCGTTGTTGGGAGCGGGGAGAGGAGAGGAAGGGGAGAAAATTTAAAATTCAAAATCTTATGGAAGTAAATGTTGAAAACTAAAAATAAATTATTTACAAAACCAAAAACAAGTTACCTTTCTTCTCTGGGCCTCAGTTTCCTCTTCTGTAGCATGAGGGAGTTGGATCAGATGACTTCTGATCTTTTTTTATTGTTTTATTAATGCTTCTTGTTTTTTATATCATATTCATTTCTTTTTTAAAAAGTGAGATTTTAATTAACAAAAATCTACGTCCTCTCCCTTCTACCTACCCCTTAAGAAAAAAAAAAGAAAAAGAAAAGCCTTGTAACAAATATGCAGTCAAGCAAAACAAATTTCTCCATTTGGCTATGTCCAAAAAAATGTATGTCTCAGTTGGTCCTCTTGAGTCCATCAGTTCTCTGTTGGGAAGTGGGTAGCATGCTTCATCATAGGTACTTTGGAATTGTTGGTGATTGTTCAAATCTTTTTCTTTTTAAATTGATTATTTTTGTTTAAATATTATATTTATTTCTGAATATATTCCTTCTACTTCTACTACCAAGAGAGCTACCACTTGTAAAAAGATTTTAAAAGGAAAAAGGAGGGGAAAAATAGACAAAACTGGCCAACAAGTCAGTGGCATCTCACAGTTTATGTAATATTTTATACCCGAATCCCCCAACTCTGCAGTGAATGGTGAGAGGCACATTTTCTCTTTTCTTCTCTGGGACCACCCTTCAGCAAGTGTTACATTTTGTTTTATACTTTGTTTACATTGTCATAGTAATTGCGTATATTGCTTTCCTGGTTGTGCTTACTTCATTTCACATTAGTTCATATAAGTTTTCCCATGCTTCTCTGAATTCTTCATATTCATCATATATGGCATAGTAAGTAGTTTATTACATTTGTGTTCCACATTTTGTTTAGTTATTCTCCAATCATTAGCCACTGACTTTGTTTCCAGTTCTTTGTTACCACAAAAAAAATGCTTGATGAATATTTTGGAATATACAAGACATTCTTTTCTGTCTTTCACCTGAGGAATATTTTATGATTCTAAGATTCTGAATCAACATTTCTGTGGGGAACTGAAGAAATGAGGTTAGTAAAGTTAAAGCCAGAGGGATCCTTAGAGTGGAAAGTATTCTTAACTTCAGTACAAAACATCCTCTCCCATGAGAGGACACTTACTTGTTGCTCAAGGAAATAATACAAGCTAATTTTACATCGTGAGCGTAGTCTGCTCAAGCAAAATCCATTTACATAGATAAAAATGTACTTCCTTTGCTTTTGACTTCTCCTATCTGTGCCTTAGTTCTTTTGCCCTTTCCCCTGCACAAGCATATGATCTCTTTGTCAATTATGTGCATTTTTTTTAACCCAATAGTGAATTCTGTCACTTCTCACTGACAAGGATTTGAAGTGCTGTAGAGTAATCTGAACTGTTTTTTGTAGTTTTCCAGTCCCTGGTCAGAAGCTAAAGAAGGCCAGAAGTCCAAAGATGAGAGAGTCTTCAGACCAGAGAAACTAGTGAGGAGTCCAGAGCGTTTGTTGTCAATATCATCTTACATAGGAAGATCAGCTTTGGTCTTGTCTGACCTTGGAAAAAATCTGAAATGCTGTGAGAACACACAGTGAGTGTGATTTCTTTTTTGGGGGACTGGTAAGGTAACCTGAACCTTAACATTAAAAATCATTTTTAATGCACCTGTTTGCATGTGCATGTGCTGTGCTGTGCTCTACAGGGATGGTTTATCCACCGAGCTTCCTACCTTCTGGAGACTTAACAATTTGACTTAATGATGCAGTTTCAGTATGATCTGGAAGAACAAATGAGAATAAGACATGTGGACAAAGGGATTTCTTATATATGGATGTGAAGTACCCTTAGTATCTATCTTCTCTTTATGAGACAACATATGGGCTTTTGAAATCTTTCTTCTTAACTCTGACACCACTCCTCACCTCCCTGGCTTGCCATTAGGATTTAGGAAGCTAGAGTCCAAAATGAAGAGTATGGTCTAGTTGAATGAGCAGAGACAAATATTGAGGCCAGAATTATATTTCTGTGAAGTCCCAATAATTTGATTATTTATTTCCTTGAATATAGAGAAGGAGGATAGGCACACAGCATTGTATAACATTATCTACTCTTTGAGCTCCCTATAGAAAAGAAATTATTAAAACTTGTGCTGAATCAATCCAGGTAACCCCATTGAATGACTGTATTAATTGAGAGTGAAATGTTTGACACAGAAAGGTACTGGCCTCACTATTCATCAAGAAATTTTTTTTAAGGCAATTGGGGTTAAGTGACTTGCCCAGGGTCACACAGCTAGTGTCAAGTGTTTGGTCTGAGGCTGGATTTGAACTCGGGTCCTCCTGACTTCAGGACTGGTGCTCTATCCACTGCGCCACCTAGCTGCCCCCATCAAGGAATTTTATTTTAAAATGCTGTGTAAACCCTAATTTTCCCTTTGAAATGAAAAATGGTTTAATTAAAGTGGATTACTGATCTCTAGGAAAGTACATCTCCATTTAAAGGGCCTGGCTTCCTTTCAGTGGCTGGCTACCTAAAATGACTTTATAATCTATAAACATTGTTGCACCCATAAATTATGACCTATTTCCCTACCTTTCAAATATTAATGCTCAATCAATGCAATAGATAATGTGAATGATGATGGAGATGTGACAGTTGAAGATGAGATAGGCTGAGAAAGGGAGCCTCCCCCCCGAGCAGTGATCTGCCAAAGCAGACTCAGTGATCCACAGTAGCCCCTCACAGAAGGCCTGTGATATTTGGAGCATTATTTATTTTAGGGAAAGGTCAGGAACTATTTAAAAAAATCTCTCTGAGTAAAAGGAAGTAATTCCCTATTCCAACAGCCAATGCGTCAGTACTGTACTTTGCTTCCCTGTGGGTGCAATTTTCAAATAAATCTCAGCTTGAAACTGATCTATAATTCATGTTCCTATTGATTACAAGTCACAGCCATCTTTAAAAAGGTTTCTTGGCTGCGCTTTTCCTGCTTATTACTGAGAAGGTTGCTTATGGTGACACAGTGACCATTAGCCCAAGTAGTTAGCAGAATCTTTCCAGGATGGAGAGTGCTTGTTGAGTCTTGGGAGCTGGATGTCAGCTTTGGGGAAAGCAGAGAGGGTTCACGAAGTGAGAGGTGGGGAGGTTTTGAGTGTATTTTAAAAGAAAACTGTAGGCAGATAAGCACTAAATAAATCAATGGAGATTTTTTAAAATTATTCAGCCTATTTCTCCTAATGTAGCCCAATGGACTGGAAAGGGAAAGAGAGGAATCTTCAACTTCCCTCATAGGGGAAACAGACAAATCTAGGTCATTCCAATTGACAGGCCTCATTGTGTAACTATACCCAATCCACCCTAAACCCATACAGTACAGATATCAAAAACCTTTATCCCAATACATTATTCCATGTAGAATTATCTGCAGCACTAAGTTCAACACAATGCATAAAGAATTAAGTAGAGAGAGTCTATGCTGTCCTTGGAAAGCATAAAATATGAGATAAAGAAATATTAAACCAGTGGCCATTAAACTCCTTATGTATACCCTGCACAGATCCAGGGTAAGTGCAAGGGTGACAGGGCAAAGCTCAGTATAGTATATGGTATAGTATATCAGTGTAGTATATGGATGAGGGTAAAGTTCAGTATAGTATACGATACAGTGTCATATATATGGTAGAAGAGACCTTAATTTCAGGAAACCCATATCCCAGTCCCAGTTCTGCCGCTAATTGGCCAGCCTATCTTAAGGCATGTTATTTCACTTGCTTAGCCTATATATCATTATCTATAATGTGGCACTCCATAATTATTTACTGGTTAAGTAAAGTGAAATAATTTAAACAGAAGTCCTCAGGGTGTCAGAAGTACTATATGGATGTAAGGAGGTAATGTTATAACTCAAGAAGAATGGGAAGAATAGCTAAGAGTTTCCTATATGGAGAAAGGAAAGTATGACTAAAAGCTGTCATTCTTTTTTTTTCTGATCAATATGGAAAAAATTAAATAGTTCTTTACATAAGGGTAATGATAATACTTTACATTGATGATAATGATGTTGCCTACAGGGACTAGGCTGAATTGATTAGGACTCTCCTAATCATTAACAGGGGCATTTTTTCTTTTGGGATGCTTGGAAGTAAAGCACCTGGATAAGTGATGACAGGATGGTGGGGGTGGAAAATGAAGAAGTTGAGCAGCCACATCTTTCCTCACCCCTTACACCAGGCAAATTCTTCTAGAATAGGAGTTGACATAGGTTTACCAATTAAAAATCCTAACCCTTTAAAATTTTTTTTTATTTTCACTAGAGTTTTAAGGTATTATTGTACCTTGCTTTGGAAGTAGCAAAACTAACTCTCTTCCCAGTCGTCTGGGAGAGTTGGCTACTAGAAAGATTTTGCTATGCATATTTCTTCCCAACTCATGGGTGGAACAGTTCAAGTCATGAAATACACCTCCTATAGTAATTCTGTACTGTGATAGATGCAGCAAGGAAAACTCATCTATATTTGGGGAAGTGAAAAGGCCTTAAACTGGAGTTGTTAAGCATTTTTGTGTCATGGACCTTTTTGGTAATCTGGTGAAGCCTTCTCAGAATGGCTTTAAATGCATGGAATAAAATAGGATTATAAAAGAAACCAATTATATTAAAAAATAGTTATCTTTTTTTTTAATTGAAACCTCTGGTTTCCCTTGGCCTAAAAGAAGAAATTCAGGTATAAGAATTGTATGGGACTTTAGAAATTATCTAATACAACTTTCCACACAGTGCTGGAATCTTCTCTTTAGCATTCCCAATAAGTAGTTATTCTAGTCTCCATCTGAAGACCTCCAGTGATAAGGAGCAATGATTTAAAAAATAATCCATCCAATCGTTGGATGGTTCTCATAGTTAAGAACTTCTTGTGTTGAGCTTAACTCTCTCCTTAGAACTTCCATCCTTGGGTCCTGACTAGCTTTTTACTTTGGAGCTATATAGAACAAATTTAATAGCTCTTCCAAATGACAGCCCGTTCAGATACATAGAGACAATTGTGGTCTCAATAAGTATTTATTTCTCCAGTTTAACTTTCCCATTTCTTCAAATATTCCTTACATGTCATGTTTTGTAGTTTCTTCTTCATCCTGATCCTGGCTGTCCCCTGGATGTGTTAATGACTCTCAATATTTCTCTGTTACAATTTGAAGTTGACTCTTCTGCTCTTTGAAAAAGCATGATCCCAGATCATTGGGACTACCAAAGCTAATTAAAGGCAGACATTTTGATAACATTGGATTATAGAAGTGATCTCATGTTTAAAGGATCTATTTGGGCAAGGCCCCAAAAAATAACTGGGTTTATTTGTAGTGACTTCCAGGTAGAGGAAGAGAGAAAGATATATTATTGAGAATGTACATAGAGAAATGTGAGGACACTTTCAAGTTAAGTCTCAGGCTCTGTAATAACATGTTGGCGTGGAAGTACATGCTCCAGAAACCAGACTAACAAGAAACCTGCAGGTATTCTAAACTCCCCCCACCCCCTTAACACTGACTGGAGAGGCAGAATCTGAATTGGTGGAGTTTGAAATTATTTTGGGGGGAAATTTGTTTTAGGTATTTATTGAAAGCAAGACAACGATGCTCCTGTGAACCACTATGAGTTAGGTTAGGTTAGGTTGTCTCAAGCAGTGTGGATAGGCTCTACTGAATCATCTATCCTCACTCATCCATTTCTCCTTCTAACAAAAAGCACCTAGCTTTGATTAAGTATGCAGTCTGTGAGTGGAAAATGATTCAAATTTACACAGTCCCTGCAGGGATGATAACTATATAACCTTAGTTATACATAGTGCTCTAAACACTGGGCACAGACTATTAAGCAATGCTTCACCTAAGGATTTGACACAGTTAACAAAACAGCAAAAGAGGAAGAAGCATCCCCCCCACCCCAGAATGACAATGCAGTAGAGCCCTGGGGACACAGAGTTCCATTCAGATGGTGGTTCCCATAAGAGGAGCATTATCTGGGTCAGAAAACATTAACCACTCTTTTGAACTGCCTTGCAGCCTTCTTGCTGAGAGGGAGATCCAGGGGATACCTGAGGAGGACTCATGCCTACAGCCACAGTGGCTGAAGGGGGGAAAGGACAGATCAATGGTCAGTAACATGCCTGACCACAGGGAACAAACTCTGGGCCAGTTCGTGGAGAATGACGACCAGAAAAATAAAGGTATTGTTGATTTTGCAGTTGATGCTTCTGCGAGGAAAAAGAAAAGGCATGCAGTAATTTCAGTGTCATTAAGGAAAAATACATTTTGCTTAACAGGTATCAGATCCAAACCATTATTCTCTTACAGTAGCAATTCAAATGGTCTTTTTTTTTTTAATTCTTTTTTTTGGTTGTTTTCAAAAGGTCTTTAAAAAAAAAAACAACTCACAAATGATACTACAGTATCCCTTGTATCTGAATAGGATTCTGCTAATCATATGCATCAACAATGGGAAATAGGCTACAATGAGTCATCCACAATGTTTCATCTGGTATCCCTAGTTACCAACATTTGTGAAACAGGTGGCTGTAGCTTGGGGTGTTGCCTGTGATCCTGAAATAGAGTTTTTCTCTATGTAAACCTAGATGGCTAGGGCAGGGACTGCACCTATGGCAATGGCCTGAGAAACCTGGCTCCTAATATTCTCAAACTGAAGAAAGTCTCTTTCCCTAAACATCAACTTAGAATCTTTTTAAGGTGGTATTAAATATATAGACATGGGGTGCTATTGTTATTGATTCTTTCTGGTCTTGTGACAGTCTGCCCCTTCCTTCTGCTGAAAATGATAACAGCAGATGAAAATAATTTTGATAGCTTCTTCCTACCCCCATCCCCACCCTTCATTTGGAAAAATGCTGATATGGACATGCCCTCTGAAACTATTTGATTTAGTTTTCTGTGGACATTTTGGAAATTAGTCTGAAGAAATTACTTATCTGCTAATGGTACTGACAAATGTGTTTTCATTTATTAAGAATGTGAACACACTGGTATAATTGTATCAATAGCTATTACGGTGGAGATATACTGGGTGTCATACAAAATCTTTACACCATCAAATAGATCTTTGGGACGCAAGTATAATTCAAGAATAATCATCCTCTAAATTTAGTCCTTTTCTGACACTATTCTTTTCATGAATGCTTAAAAAGTCAGATAGAAGGTAATAAGAAGAGAAATTGGTTCTCTCCCCTCACCTCATATGTGGTAATAAACATTTCACTCGCTTATTGCAGGAACTACCTTCTTGTCATTCAAGTGCCATGCTATTTCCTGATACATGTTAAGATGTTACATCCCAGGTTTTATGAATTGGTTTCTTATACATCCTTGGTATTAGATATCAAAATACCTAGGCTACAGAGATGGGAAATGTACCTACCTTAGGCTTGAATTGTAATTGACTCTCCCAGTTCCTGTTTTTCAAAAGTTAGTAGTTGGTGATCCTGTTAATGGCAGTAGTATTATAAAAATAGGCATCAACTACTAATTCAGTTGATAGGGAGAGTGCTGACAATGATATCCTTCCTTCCAGCCTAAATTTCTTAGTTATGTTCTCATACAAATAACCTTTCAGAGATAATGCTGAATTTTCTGGATAGCTGTATAGGAAGAAGAAACACCTGCGTGCGCACGTGCACACACACCCACACACCCACACACACACGTGTGTGTGGGTGTGTGTGTGTGTATTGGATAGTAGTATATGTAGTATATTGGATGAAAGGCCTCCAACCAAACCAGTCTACCATGGTGTCGGAGTTCCCATCATTAATCACACCAATCATGGGTTGAGGCATTAGAAGTCTCTTAGTTTAAATACAAATCAGGTGAGAAGGGAAAGGAATTATACTATTATTGGCAATTGACATCGAAGTGTAAATTAATTTATTAGATTAGCTAGCAGAGAAGTTTTTAAGTAGAATGGTAGAGTAGAAAAAAACACTGGCTCTGGAGTCAGAGGTCATGGATTCAAATCCTGCTTCTGATTCTTGCTACCTGAATGACCTTGGGTAAGTAACTTAACTTTCTTGGGCCTCAGTTTCTCATGTATAAAATGAGAAGGCTGGACTATGGACATGGCCTTTGAGGTCTCTTCTAGCTCTTTGATATCTGATCCTATCAGAGAAAGGGGTAGGGACCTAAAACTGGTCAGGTTTCTTTTTTTTTTTTTTTTTCGGCTAGGCAATGGGGTTAAGTGATTTGCCCAGGGTCACACAGCTAGTGTCAAGCATCTGAGGCTGGATTTGAACTCAGGTCCTCCTGACTTCAGGGCTGGTGCTCTATCCACCTTGCCAACTAGCAGCCCTTTTGTCAAGTTTTTAAAAAAAATTTATTTAAAGTTTTGGGTTCCAAATTCTATCCCTCCCTTCCCTCCCCTCTCCCTGAGATGGTAAGCAATCAGATATAGGTTATAAATGTGCAATTATGTAAAACATTTCCATATTAGTCATTTTGTTCAAGAAGTTTCGAATAAGAGAAAAAAATGAAAGTGAAAAATAGCATGCTTATTATAGTTTGTATATTATATGTATGTTATAAATATAAATATTAATGTATATTATAAATAACCTATATTCAAACAATATTAGTTCTTTCTCTGGAAGTGGATAGCATACTTCATCATTAGTCTTTTGGGATTGTCTTGGATCATTGTATTGCTGAGAATAGCTAAGTCATTCACAATTCTCCACTGAACAATATTGCTGTTACCATGTATAATATTCTCCTGGTTCTGTTCACTTCACTATGCATCAATTCATGTAAGTCTCAACAGATTTTTCTGAAATCATCCTGCTTATCATTTCTTATAGCACAATAATATTCCATTACAATCATATGCCACAGCTTGTTTAGCCATTCTCCAATTGATGGACATCCCCTTTGATTTCCAATTCTTAGCCACCATAAAAATAGCTGCTATAAATATTTTTGTATAAATAGGTCCTTTTCCCTTTTTTTGGATGTCTTTGAGATATAGACCTAGCAATAGTATTACTGGATCAAAGGGTATGCACACTTTTATAGCCCTTTGGGCATAGTTCCAAATTGCTCTCCAGAATGATGGGATCAGTTCACAACTCCACCAACAATGCATTATGTCCCAGTAAAACTAGTCAGTTTTCAAAGTAATGGAGGGGAAATGTAGCGGTTCTAGGTTCTGAGCCTGAAGTCTCTGAGTGCTTGGAAACAGGAAGTGTTAAAATGTAAAAGGATGAAGATTGAAGGTATATGTGTATATGTGTATGTTGCACATGTGTATAATAGAGAAAATAACCTTTTCCCACTTCAGTTCTGTTGAGAGCAGGTCCTGCCTCTGGCTATGTTACAAAACTTGCTAACATTAGGAAATTCTGTGTCTTTCAGAGCCTGCTGAACAATACTGTACTATTTGGCAACATCCACAGCAAGAAAGCTCTTTGGAAATCAAACAAGATCCGTGTCAGGTGTTTGCTGTATGACAAACCTCCTGGAAGCCAGTTATTTACTTACAATAATCTGTCTAAAGAAATCTCCACAATTCTGTTAACCTGTGGTGATGTCTTGATCATAATTGCTTTCTCTCTGGGAGCCACAATAACTTTAGCTGCAGAAATTTTAATATTTTCTAGAAGCTATCTACAGATATTGTGAATAGCTTGCAAATATTAGTATATTTTTTTGTTGGTTGTGTGCTTGTTATTATATCTTTCCTCTTGTCCTCTTAGTACTGATTCCAATCTTTCATAATTTGTAGATGCCAACTACAAGGGCAGAGGAATGTAATTCAAAGACTGAACTCAAGCCTAATGCGGTGGAAAAAAGACCTCAAAGTAAGTTCACTCAGAATGTCATTTTAGAATATCCTCCATTTAAGAAGTGCCACACACTCATTCTCAAACAGAGAATCACACTTGATGCTGCTGTTTGGGGCTTATATTTTTTGTCTCATAGGTGAAGCTATAAAAGGCTCATTAGGAAGAGGGGAGAGATATGTACAGGCACAAAAAAATGAACTAAATTGTTCAAAATTGGAAAGAAGCTTGGCTGGGCAGGAAGAAGGCCAATCATCTCAGGAAGACAGTGTGAGTGAACAGTTTGAGGTGTTCCCCGCTTTGGGGGTTACTGCATGATCTTATTACCCATTACTTAGGGTGGAAACACAAGTTGGCCTTTTGTGTGTAAGGACCTGAAATGCTGGGTCTACCAGTTGATCTGCCCATTGCAAACCAAGTGGGCTTAATTAAGTGCCAAAACGGAGCTTCCAAAGAAAGGTTCTCACAGCAGCCATTTGCAAGGATGGTCCTAGACCTGTTTGTAGCTTCCATTTATTCCCCCTAAAATTCCCCAAGTCATCAAAATGGGCTTATTATTCATTAAACATGTTTTTTGGCAGGTTATTTATGATAGAAAAAATCAGGAGGCCTCAGCACTGGACTCAGATGTCATTAAGAGTTCAATAGTTGAATCACAAGAGGAGAAAAGAAGGCAGCAGAGGTACTTGTCTCTTCCTTACATAAAGCTATCATGTATGTACACCTGCTAGGAACATCAGTACAGTGGTTAAATGATGGCCTCAGTGTGGCCCCAGGGAATGAGTCTGATCCTGACACACACATTGAGCTCTAGGAAAATTTGTGAAATTTGGCATGAGCTCCCTTCCTTGCCTCTTCAAGAAGTCCCTGACTCTTTGGCCTCCTACTGACCTAAGGCTTATTCCATATAGATATCTAATATTGAATTTGACCCACCCTATATCTCAATACTTGAGGGGAGAAACATGTAAGTTAATTCACTCAAGTCAGTCAACAAACATTTTAAAGCACCTGCTATGTGCCAAGCAGTGTGCTAAGTACTGAGGATACAAAGAAAGGTATCTGGTTCACATATCTGTGAACGTGCCAGTGGAAGAGGGCTACTCTCAGGTAATACATATGCATCTTCACCAGGATTTTCCATAGACAATGCTCATAACTCTGTTGTCTGATCCACGAATGACTCTACTGGTGGAAATTTCAGTTCATGGACAATTATCTAATCATACCACTGAAGCAGCTGCCTGCTCTGAAGCCCTATGAGGGAAAAATTTACCATAGACTGACCTCTGATCCAGTCACAAATGTAGCTCTAGTAGGCTAGTATAAACAAGCCAAAGTTAATGGCTTTATGTAAGCTAATATATGAAGCTGTGAGAAGTTTGGCCCATTTTATGATGAAAATATCTTTGTGTAGACTATGGATAACAGAGTCTTAAAGACTAATGCAATAGTTTTTGTAATGTTTTTCATTTCCCTGAAAAGGCAGACCTTCTTGAAACATAGGATCATAGCTTTGGAACTAAAAGAGACCTTAGAAATCACTTAATACAACCCTATTCACTTTATAGATGAGTAAACCGAGCCTCAGAGAGGTAGGTACCTGTCGCTTGTCCTGGGTCATCCAGGTAATATGTAGCAGAACTATGATTCAAAACCAGATGCTTTGACTTGAAAACTAATCCTCTTACACTACACTATGCTGCCTTTGGTACGGGGCTTGTTCTGAGCCCTTTGAACAGCTCTCTGAATTATCTGTGCATGTCTTTGCAGGATGAAAGATAAGTTTAGAGAAATTCAATTAGAAACTATCCAGATATGCCACATCTCTGCCATTCAAGGTAAGGCTGGTCCAATTTTTGTAGCAGACAGTTGAATCATGTGCACCCAAACCTCAGATTTAGGCTTATTGTGTAATTCATAGCCTGAGCCTTCCTCCTAGAAATAGAGCAAATTTCAGAGATCATCTAGTCCCATCTTCTATAGAATGTGTGAATCCTCTCTATGAGAATGCCAACACATTATCTTGTTGAGTGCTTAAACTGAAGTGACAGGGAGCTCACTACCTAATCAGGCAAATTGTTCCATTTTCCCATCTAACATACTTGTTCTGCTATCTTCCTCCACTGCCTAGCTGATATGGGCTCAGAACATGCAGACTAATTTTGATTTTAATCTAAAACTTTCTGCTCCCCTCTATCCTAAATCAAAATGTATTACAAGATAGATTAAAATAGCTTTCAATTTTGGATTACCCATACCCTTAAAACAACTACTACCATTCACTTAATCCTAAAATAAAATTTTCTATTATTTCAGTAGATACCCTGTCCTTGGAGGTCTTTTTCTGAAGACATGGTCTCTAGTCCTTGCTCTGCCATTAATTTACTCTGTGACCTTAGGCAAATCACTTCCCATCCTTGGGTATTACTTGCCCTTCTATAAAATGAGGGAGCTGGATAAATGATCTCTAAGATCCTTTCCAGTCCTAGTAACTTACATTTCCATGTTTTAATAAAGGGCATATAAATGTTTATTCACTCCAAAAATAAGACATTTCAAGAAAATCAGTCAGACTCATTGGTCAACTAAGTTTTCCACTTTTCAACCTTTTATTTTAGTATCACTTCCATAGGCTTAGGGGACTAGACTATCTCTGGCTCTTTCATATCTCCTTCTCTCTCTCTTCTCCACACCCCCTCCCCGTGAAAGCCATCAAGGATATTGTAGACAGGATTTTTATACTGGAGTAGGAGGTTGGGTTAGAAACTTCTGAGCACTATTTGTACTCTAAGATTATATGAATCTTCCTGTTTCTTAAAATGCTTCCTAAACCTAGCTCTTGAAATAAATTCAATTTTTATTTATATTCCAGAATGCAAAAAAGATCAAGAGAAGAAATCGGAGTATACTCAGTATGATGAAGATCACTTGCATAAGTGTGATACCACTCCTTCTGACTCCTTAAAATCAGGATCTGTTCTCAGTACCTCTTTAGAATCTCTCTCTTCAGACACAGTATCACCATGCAATTCACCGCCAGAATTAGACAGTGGTCAGTCACATCTATCTGCTTCTGAATTTCAGAAGGTGACTGCCTTTCTAGTTAATGTTTCAGACAGTCTGATTTCAGGAAGTGACTCAGAAGCTGAGGGTGCACAAAACACAGAAGTCAGTGAATGGCAGGAGTTCACTGACCAACAACCATTGAATGAGTTTTCTAGTCCTTTGCCTAATCCATCAGTAACGCCAAGTAAAGGAGATGGATTGATTTTGGCAGTTAATAGTGACGAGAAACAGCCTGATAGTGGTTTTCCTTTTGAAAACTGCCAAGACTTACAGAAGACACAAGCGAATAACAATATTTCAATTAATGACTGTCCTTCTGAAACTAATGTTGTGAGTTTGCCTGGCAGCAGGAAACAAAAGCTAAGCCTTTCATGGACAGAATTACCATTGTCTCAAGACACACCCTCTCAAAATTTGAATGATATGCTTTCAGCAGATACCTATGTGGCACTAAAAGAGGATAAAGAAAAAACTTGTTCACAGCATGAAGTTTGTGTTGAACCCATGTTCAGTTCCTCTTCATCCCTGGATGATTTTTCAGAGACAGATAAAGATTTGGAACAAGGTCCTGCATTTTCCCTTGGCAAAGGAAAAGATCAGAAAGACTTTGGAGTCAAAGATGTTTGGTTGGAAGGGACAAGCAAAAAAGAAACTAAATTTTTTCTCCCAGAAATCTACTTCATGCCATTTCCATCCCCAAACCTGAAAGCAAATTGCCAACCACTTTCACTGCCTTTTGAAATGTCACAGAGAAAACAAAACTTGTCAGTCAAAAAAGCTAAACCTACATGTGAAGAAAATCCAGAAGGGCCTATTTCTGACAAAGTTAGTAAATTTGCCTTTCAGCAGTTGTCAACTGACTTCAACAGTGAGCCTGCTAAACCTGGCCCCAGGATCTTTCATGATGGGAAAATTGTTCAGTCAAGGTGTGAACATAAAGCAGATGAATCTGATATACATCAGAGGACCTCAGGGGGCCACAAGGTCGTGATAGCTCCTTCTGGGTCATCCAATGGGTTGGTTCACGAGAATGAGCATTGCCCAACTGTGAGGGTTGATGGCTCCATACATACCAAAAAAAATGGTCTATCTACTCTCCATGGTGACATTTTGTCTGAAATACTATCTCCTGTTGATGAAGTACTTTCCTATGGAAGTGCTGGCCTCCCATCCCCAACCCAGAAGGGTTCCTCTTTTCCCAGTGAAGATTTCCCTTCTCCTCCTCCTGACCTTGTGTTTTGGGCAAATGATAATGATATTAACTTCAATTCAGAAGACTTCCCTTTTCTGCCAGAAGATGTGGTATCTCCAGAAAGTTCAAAGAATGCACAAGATGAAGATTCATCTCTTCAAACTGGTGAGTTATCTTCTTTATCTGATGAGATATTACCAGAGGAATTTTCTCCAATACCTCTGGATTTAGGGAATTCCTACTCAGTTCTAGATGAACACTCACTGGAATGGGATGGAAGGAGAGAAAGCAGTTTGGAAAAGAAAGAGGAACTGTTGAGTCTTGAACCACAGCAGGATGTTGAAAGGAAACAAAAAGTGAGCTGCTGTTCCAGTCCTACTTTGTCCATAAGTGCCACTCAAAGTCCAGCATCATTCTTAAAACCATTTAAAGATGAAGATGAGAAGAATCCACTAGCAATGAACGATACAGAGAACAGAGAAGAGGTGACACATACACAACCAGAAATTCTGAAATTCAAAGAGACAAGTCATTTTGAAGGAAAGCACTGGACTGGAATGAAATATGATAAAGCAAAGGATGATCACAAAAAGGACTTGGAAAGAGTAAAACATTCAGAGTATGACATGTATTATGATGAGTTACTTAGTCCAGATCAAATGTTATACCTTTTGACAGACTGTACAGAAAAGTCAAGTGAACATAATGACCAAGATTCACTTCATTGTGAGCCATCCTTAAAGAATGGTAAATGCTATGATGAGATCAGGGTAGAATACCCATTTTTAAAGACAAAGCCAGAAGCAAAGTTTAACAACAGAGATAGCTCAATGACAACAGTAACCACTCATCCTGAAACCCTGATGTTCCAACCTACAGAGATGGAGTCCTGCTTTATTCATGCTCAGTCTGAGTCTGAAAGACTTTTTAATAAAGATTTCTCTGGATGCTTAAGTAGCCAAAAAGAACAGCCACATATGGCACCTATAAAAAATGAGGCTGAGAAATTACTTGAAGATGTACATCCAATGGAAGATAAAGAAATCAACTTTGAAAATAGTGTTATGGGCTCCCAACTTGATTCCAGTCAAAAAACATATGGAATTGTAGATTCTGTATCCACTGAACTGACCAAAAAAATCCTGTGGGATGCCTTAGCCGTGTTTGCAGAGCTTGTCAGACAGCAGAATGCCTCCCTGTCCATCAGCCGCTGTGTAACCCCTACTGATGAGGGGAAGCTCACAAAATTGCCCTCTCCAATAACTGCTTCTACAGACCACACATATGCCAATGACACAGAAAAGGGAGAAATGGAATTTTGACAGTGGATGAAGAAGCAAGAACAAAATAGGCTTTTGGGGGGCGGGGAGTGAGGGGAGAGGCCAGGGGAGGTGGCAGGGGAAAGAAGAATCATGGTGTGAATTCCTTTAAGAGGTCATAATGATTTTTTAAAAATTCTACTTGTAACTTTTTATCACAAGTTTAAATTTCCTGGCTCTCACAGGATAAAAAAATCATATAACTAAATTAGTGACCAGTGCTATGAAGGAGGGAAATATGCAAATGTTTTTGAGGGTCACAGACAAAATCCTGGCCCAAAGATTAGGTGGATATCAGGAATTGGATTTTTAAATTTTATATACACACACACACACACACACATATAAAAACCGGAGGAAAATCACATGATATATTTAGGAATAAAATGAGTGTCAATTTAAGGAATTTCCAAGTAGATTAAATAAAGGTATAGCTTCTAGAGCAGTGGTTCTTAAATCTTTTCTGTGTATGTATGTATTATGGACCCCTTTGGAAGTCTAGTGAAGCTCGTGGACCCCCTTTTCATAATAATGTTTTTCAGTTATTGAAGGAAATGTTAAATTTCAGTTAGTAGTGAAAATAAAGATGTATTTTTTTCTCATTCAAGTTTACAGTGTCCCCTTGAAATCTATCCATGGACCCCTTGGGGGGTTAAAAATCTGTTCTATAGTGAATAAGCAAGATAACTAGGATTTGATAATGGTGACAGAAAAAAAAGATAGACACATTATAACTAGGAAAGAAGAAAAATATAATTTTGTAGTCATTTGAAAAATATATTCAGAATGAAACAAAAGTAACCACAGAGGTTGGATAGGCAAACCCACAGCTGAAAGACCAAGACCCTGGCTACCTGTGTTTCAAGGATTTTTATTTCAATGATTTCAAGGATTTCAAGGATTATTTATTACTGTAACTTTAATCAGATTTTGATTGAATTCATCAATTTCCTTCAAATTCCTATTTTATTCATTCATTTCTACTTACCCATAAAGTATTATGAAAACAACCCTTGCTTATAGAAATCATACTATATTTCTAAGTTTCACGGACTAATCACTAATAAGAACTGGTAACACAAATACAAATTGCTATCTTTTCCCATAGTACTTTATGAGCAAGGCAGAGTAAAATCTGGAGAACAATAATAGCAATAAGAGAAAAAAGTAATCCTCCTGGGTTTTTTTTGGGGGGGGGCTGATGAATGAGTCGAATAATAATCTGCAAATATTGATAGAAAAAAACATTTCTCTGTAGGCCTGATAGTTAATTTAAAAGTATCAATGATATGCTTTTGGTGACAAGGGTTTGAGATCTGAAATGGTTCTAAAAGGTGGAATGCTTTAATGATCAGGAAGATCATATTTCTAGGCTTTATAAACACTGCTTATATGAACGGATCCTTGTCTGAATTTGACAGGTAGTTCAGACTAGCACTCGTAAGATGAAATCCCAGTTTACATATTAATATTGTGGGTAAATTCAGAATGAGCAGTGAATCAGAATTTTCCAATGGTGTTGAGGGTTACAGGCATTTTTTTCCTCACGAATACCAAAGTTTTATCACATGTCAGACCACTTTAAGATCTCCTGTTTGGCAGAAATATGAATTCCTAGGCCAGTCTATTGAGCCAGGTTACCCCCCCCAGGTGGATGAATGAGGAAAGAGTTCTCAGTTTGCTGGTAAGAGCGAGTTCTATTTTGATTCTATCTTCATAGCTTTGCCTCTTTTATGTGACTCAGTCTCTCTTCTTGAAAATAACAATGCCATTTCCTGGTTGTGGAATATTATTAGCCTTCCAGTGAACTGACAAAGAAATTTTTAAAAAAGATTGTGAGAAATTTCTTATAGCAGAAGCCATTTCTGCAAAGATCTATATTTGCACATACAAAAAGCCCTTGGTTTTCTTTTTCCTCTTTCTAACAATTACTTCTTTCCTTGGTACAAATATTTAGGCAGAGATGCTAGGAAATGGCTGTTTATTCAAAAATAAAGAGGATTTCCTGAAGAAAGATCCATGAGATATGACTAACTATGAAAACTAAATAACATTGGCCCCAGAACATTGTTTCAGGGAATTAGACTTCTTGTTTGGGAGTGATTGTGAGCAAGAAAGGCAAAAGAAATGCCCAGAGGATGTACGATGTAAAAGTGTTTTCCAGTATTGCCTAGAGATGTAACATATGTAGAAGAGTGAGGAGAAATGAAGGATTGGGTGTCAGGTTCTCAGAAACAGACACATCAACATGGCTTTCAGTTTATATGTATGTATGTATGTATAGTTATAAACACAAGCTCTTTGTAGCAGCTTTACTATGGGCAGGCACAGTGGGAACAGGGACTAGTAGTCATATATTGCTCTCTTAGCCACACCTAGGCACATAATATCATAAATTGTCAGATATGAAAATAAGAGATAGCAATGTAGTTTAAAGTGCTATTCTTGATTTTTGAAGATAACTACCTATTATGGTGGGAAATTATAGGATGAGCCATTTAAAGGTACAAAAGACTGAATCAAGAACATTTATCTTTGGGATCAATGTGGATACTAATGCCAAAGGTCAGAGCAAAAACAAAAACATTCCATCCAAAATTCAAATGGCTGCTTTTCTCTTTCTTTCTTTCCTTCTTCCTTTCTTTTTATAAATCTTAGTGGTTATGGTCTGAAACATGGGGAACTGACTCAACCATAGTGTATGCTTATGCTCAGTTTAAAAAAATTATAGCTCATTTAGACAGTAATGAACACAAACCTGGTATACTTTGTTCTGACTGACAAAGGCTATGTCCCTGAAAGTGGTGTGAATCTAATATTTATGTAATAATTCATGTACCATGAGAACTAGCTTTTTACCTGTTATTTCCTTATAAAGAATAATTTTGTAATGTGATGGTAACCTTTCTCCTAATTTAACTCTTTGAATTGTGATTTTGGTTTGCTATATTAATTTGTAATAAGATTGTGGCATCTTTGGATATTAAGTTTCATTATGGTAAGTTTTTTCTAATTCAATCAGAAATTTTAAAATTTGGGAAAAATATAGACTCAAGAAGCCTTAGAATCACAGAATGTCAGAACTGTTAGACACTTAATGGTTTATCTTCTCCAACCCTTTCATTTGACAGACAGGGATAAGTGGAAGCCCAGGGTGGCAAAGTGACTTGTTCTAGGTCATACAATGGCAATTTAATATTATTGAAGTATGGCGCATGATTGAGATTGTTTATAAAATTGATGTATTGATGATTCAGAGGATTTTATTTAAGTGGTACCAGATAAAGTAATGAATGTGAATTTTATGCACAATATTTAAAATAATATTTAACGCTCAGATTTTAGATTTACTGAAAAATGTGTTCATCTATCTGTAAAATTTTAAAATGTAGGTACTTTGAGCTATAGCTTTCATATTGATTTGTTCCTAGTTTTCTGAACAAATTAGTCTGTAATTTTTTATTTTTCTATTTATTGCAGACTCCTTTGGATTTATGAGTCCATGTGGGCAGAATTATGTATTTTACACATACAAGTTTGGCACAGTAATAAATCTCCAATATTGAAACTCCACAGATCCCTCTCGAGTTCAATAGTTTTCAGTCTTATGGCTATTGGTTTGGCATTGAATGATAAGGATTGATAGTGCAGATATACAACTAGACTGAGATGTTTCTCATAAACATTATTTACCTATGTGACCAAGCTGCTCAGGGGCATCTATATAGAAGATTTGATGCCTTTCCAGTATTGCCCTTGAATGACTCTATCATGAGGAAGGAACTACCACTTTTGAAATAATAAAAACCCATGCCTAAACCCTCTCATATGTAGAAGGACAGCCACAAAATGACTTGGGATAAAGAAGAGAAAGTATATCCACCGAAGGTGTTAGACATATTTAATCTCATCCAGCATTATGTGTACAAAGCTTTGGACTTTGGCATCCAGATATATTGACCTGTTCAGTCAGTGGCAAGACTTCAATATCAGGATTACTCTACCTCAAGGTCTAATATTTTCCTTGCCTTGGCTTTGATCAATATTAACCTCTTGGGCCAATAAATCTTGATACTGGCCTCAAGAGAAGTCATTATCTTTCATAGAAAATGATTATTTCTCAGTTAAAGCCTACATTTAATTTTCCTGTAATCTGTCTCTTTCAGCATTGCACATTTAGCAGTGCCTCTCCTGCATAAAATGCCCATGAAAATGCCTTCCCCACCGGAGGCTTTAAATCCCAAAGCATCAAACTAACTTTACGGTTTCCTTTGATTCCTTTAGCTCCAGCAGCTAGAATAGGCAGGCTCATAAAATATAAATGAAGGCCACCAATGCTAGTTAGGAAGGGCCTGGCTTAAAAATTAATTTGAATCACAAAAGCATTCATTAAACTGGAGTTTTCCCTCCCACACAAAAGATGTCAGACAAGCCTTCCCCAGTTTAAGGCTCAGTTATTATGTTGGGCAGTCAAAAATATTGAACACATGTAGATGCCAGGGTTCTTTCACATCTTTGTTTCAAAGCCTAGGGTATGTGGGCATATATGTACAACAGAGCTCTATAGTGTGGAAAACCTAATCATATTTGGTTCTTATGAAATTCCCACAGATTAAAAGATGGAGTGTGGTCTTTAGAAGCTGAGTTACACATAGTGCCTCTGAGCCAAAGGAAATGATACTTTCCTTACTAGAGAGAGCAGTGACTCAGGTTGGACTTAGGTTCCTTTTTTTTTCTGTGCAAACATTGATATAAGTTGGGGTTATAACCAAGATTATAAAATAACCAGAGAGGGCTCCCCTAAAAATGCAGGTAGGGTGGTTTTTTAATCTATACCACTCCTTATCAGTTGGTTTTTTTCCTGTTGAGCTCTGTTCTAGGTATTATGAGTTAAGCAAGAGAAAGCACAGTCCATACTCTGAAGTTAATGCATATTCATGTGAAAAATCGGATATTCTTTATTGGCTAGTCCTACTTATTTTATAAATGGGAAACTGAGGCACATGGAAGTGACTATCTGATCAAAGTCACATAATAAACTGAAGCAGAGATGGGACTTGAACAAGGGT